TCCTTTTGGACAAAGTGTTGTAATGCCTGAACCTTTTGCCAAACAAAATTAAGATTTGAATTTATGGACCGAGTGCCTTAACTTTTGATCTCAAACACAAAACTAGCTAATAATCTACTATCTACTAGTATTATAAAACTGTGAAAAGCTTGCCATATTTTTTTTTTATTTTTTTAAAATCTTAATTTTACCTTCTCAAATCTACTATATTTTTTAAAAGTCATGAAGAGTTCTATATAAATCAACCATTTCTTTATTTTGAAAGTTAAACACTCAAACATGATATATTTGCTTCAAAGAGTCTTATATAAATATAAATGAACCATCTCCCTTGTTTTTAATTTTTTTTAAAATCCCAATTTTACCCTCTCAAATCTACTATATTTTCAAAAAGTCATTATTAGTCTTATATAAATCATCAATCTCTTTATTTTTGGAGTTGAACACTCAAAACATGATATATTTACTTCCAAGAGTCCTATATAAATATAAACGAACCGTCTCCATTCTTATCAAAAAAGAAAAAGAAAAAAAGGCTTTCTCCCTATTTTCTACATTGATGATGATTGAAAAACAAAAAATAATTACTCTTTCTTATTTTCTGTGTTTGTTTCTATACTGATATACATAATATTTACAATTGTCCATCATAGATCAAATCGCTTTGAATAATTTTGGTTGAATTTTAAAGTCGTATGCATTTGTTCGAATCTGGATAGAAGAAAGCATATGCGTTTTCAAAATATAGATTTGTGCTACATCTCAAAAATTCGCAAGTTATCTTCATACACTTTCTTTTTGTTTAAATTATATTTTATAACTGTAATATTTTACATGGTACTTTAATAACTAATGTATGATGTCAAAATTCTAAACAAGAATCACTTTCATTGGTTTTATTTTTTAAATCTACTTTTCAGTTTTTTTTTTTTTTTTTTTTTTCATATTTTCTCAGTTTTGGTGATTAAAGATATTGAAATTTCTTCATATTTTATATTTAAGTTATACTTTTACATGACAATCTAACATCTAATAATCTAAATAGATTTAAAAATTAAAATATTGGAAAAAAATTTATAAATTCAAAAATGCACTGATTTTTTTATTATATATTATTATTATTATTATTATTATTATTTAATATTAATAACTTTTTTTTCCCAAAAAGAATACGCAACAAATTATTTTCTAAGCGTATTTAGATTAAGTGAATCTAAATCTAAAAGTAAAATCAAAAAATAAAAACGTATTAAATTAAGTGAATCTAAAAAGAAAATAAAAAGGTTATTAAAAAAAAAGTGTCAAAGACAAAAAAAAAATGAAAATAAAAAAATTCAAAATAAAAGTTTGAAAAAAATAAATAAAATCATCTCCTTATTTTTCACATTGATGATGATTGAAAAACAAAAAATAATTACTCTTTCTTATTTTCTGTGCTTGTTTCTATACTGATATACATAATATTTACAATTATCCATCATGGATCAAATCATTGTGAATAATTTTGGTTGAATTTTAAACTCATATGCATTTGTTTAGACAGAAGAAAGCGCATGTGTTTTAAAGATAGAGATTTGTGCTACATCTCAAAAATTAGCAGATTATTTTCATACACTTTCTCTTTGTTTAAATTATATTTTATACTCTGTAATATTTTACATGGTACTTTAATAACTAAGTTATGATGTCAAAATTCTAAACAAGAACCACTTTCGTTAGTTTTATTTTTTAAATATATTTTTCAGTTTTTAATTTTTCATATTTTCTTAGTTTTGGTGATTAAAAATACTGAAATTTCTTCATATTTTATATTTAAGCTATACTTTTACATGACAATCTAACATCTAATAATCTATATAGATTTAAAAAGTAAAATGTTGGAAATTTTTTTATAAATTCAAACATGTACTGATTTTATTATTATTATTATTATTATTATTATTATTAAAAAAATTTTCCTAAAAGAATCACAACAAATTATTTTCTAAGTGCATTTAGATTAATTGAATCTAAATCCAAAAGTAGAATTAAAAAATAAAAATGCATTACATTAAGTGAATCTAAAAAGAAAATAAAAGGGTTATTAAAAAAAAAGTATCAAAGACAAAAAAATATGAAAACAAAAAAATTCAAAACAAAATTTTGAAAAAACAAACAAAACCAAAACACTATAAACTTTTCTTTTTTAAAATCTTTTTCACTAATCTCTAATTTTACACAAATTATTCACAAATTGCTTTTAATTTTTATGTGAATTTAATAATCTAATTAAAAAATAATGCATACACAAAATGTAAAAGTAAACATCTACGTTATGACCAACCATTTAATTAGGAATAATTAACTTCTCATTGTTACATGTATTATATTGTTATAAAAGATTTCACATATTATTTTGTGATATCTTATATATTTCAATGTCTACATATATAAATATATAAAAAATATAAATGTAAATTTATAAATGCTACTGTATTCATACATTATCAATCTGTGATACTATATTACCATCGGATACTTTAATCTTCTAACATGTATTGCTTTAGTAATATAGTTATATTTGTTAGAAAAAAAAACACAAAATTGTGTATTATTCTCCTATAAACACTATAGGAATTTCGAGTTTTAGCGGCGTTTTTAAAACGCTGCTAAAAGCTTGAAAAACGCCGTAAAAAGTTATAGCGACGTTTAAAATTTTCGCCGTTGATACGGCCGCCGCAATAGGTTTGCAGCGTTTAATAAACGTCGCTAAAACTATTAGACGGCGTTTTTTAAAACGCCACAAAATGTTGACGTCCGCTTCTATTACCGTCACAAACTTACGTGTGACGTGAGCATGATGTCATTTAGTGGCGTTTTTAAAAAATGCCACTTTTTTTCTTTTTCTTTTTCTTTTTCTTTTTTTTTAAATTATTTATTTATTTGTTATTATTATTATTATTATTATTATTATTATTATTATTATGTCCAAAGCATACAATTTTAGAAAATATGCATTATAATGAATCTGAAAAAACAAATCTTCCACTAGACTAAGCCAAATACATATAATGAAATCCAAAAAAACAAAATTCAAATTCACACTCCAGATACTTCAAATACCACATGAAATTAGGCAACAATCTACACAAATCATCCAAGATTTTGAAAATTGTTGAAAATTTTAGCTTGATACAAGAATGTTAAATCTAGAGGTTCAATGCTGAGCCACAACCTCCATCTTCAATTTCTCAAAAATTATTTCCACCAAATAAAAGACAGGAATTCAACTTCTTTCAACTCTTTTTTTTTTTTCCCTCTATTATTTTCCTTACATCCAAACATAGATTCAAGGGCATGCATAAATACCGAAATGACATGATCTCATAGCCAACAGAGCCTAATAGGCTAATTGACAACCTATAAACCAAATGCATCATATAAAATAAAATAAATAAATAAATAAAAATTCCTAGAGAAAGCATAGCTTTTATTACAAATTTTATAACAATTCTTGTCAGCATGCATTACAAGTAATTCCCCCACAAATTTGTGCACTATATTGGATTCCAAGAGACAATAAATTTGCAAGGGGGCAAATTTTGAACGGAAAGTTATGAATTTTAATCAGTAGAAGAAACAGTGGAGAAGAACATTGATCATTCTTTTCAGTTTCCACCTCAGATGAGTCAAGCTCGTGGCATGACTACCAGGTGCACATACTAAATTAAATGAGCAAATACAAGTAGAGAATGAAAAGCAGAAACAAAAGTCAAAATGTAAAACTAGTAAAGCTGCTAGATGAAAGGTACCAAGAGTGAAAGAGCTCGGGTCAAACATCACCGGCACAAGGGAGACAGCAATTTTTGTCAAGTCAAGGTGGGTCACAGCTCTCTAGCTACTTCATATGTTCAAATGTGAAGTGGGTCACGGCCAGAACTGGTATCCCTGTGCTTCAAAGAGAGGTTTGCGAATTGCGAATCAAGGTCTCTACTATTGTTGCGTCTATGACTAGAAGATGGTTGTTGTTGTTGCTGACACAAGGCTCGCAGCCTTCCAATTTCTCTTTCCAATACTTCATGCTCCACCGCATAAACCCTTCAATTGTCTTAGTTTCTGGATGAAAATATGTGAAAGAATTTACTGCTGCCCTGTGTTGTAGCTCGCAAAAAAATAAAAATTAAGGATATATTAACCCCACAGTGCTCATTCTTTCATATGCTTAATGTGTCCACACTGGTTGTGAAGCACACAGTCCTGCATCCAACACACTTGAAAAAACAAAGAGTACACCTAGTAGTGTCGAACCTTTACTATTCATTTTTTTTTGTTTGAGAAAGTTCCACTTTGTACACATGGCACCACAAGTCAAGCATGCAATAAACACTCATATAATAGAACAAGTAAATATAAATGAAAGTGAAGTGAACAAAACAAAAAAGAGCATACATGTATTTATCCATATGATAATTGCCAAGCTTCAATTTCCATTTTATGCAATTGTCATCACAAAAAGTAAGATGGTTCAAAATTGTAACTGATTGCCTAATAAATTTGATTATCTAACAAAGAAATAGTTTTATCATAAATGATTGCCTAATAAATTTGATTTATCTAAAATTCACAACTGTCACTATAATTCTATCCACCAGAAGACAGATTCAAATGAAGGTTGTTTATATTTGCTGCCATTGTCCAATTATCATTTCCTCACCTCAGCATAACATCTTCTACATTATCCAATGAGAAAATACGTCCACCAACTTTCTAAGGGCATCCAAAAGGATGTCACTTTCTCAAGAAAAGAGAATCCACCATTCACCTTAATTTTAAAAAACTAATACTTATCAAACGCAGCCAGGTAATGCAATGGTGCACCAATCTAGAGAAAAATCTTTCTGTTTTAGCAAGCACTTATGCTGTGCTAACAGGATGCAAACAAGCACAGCTACTACAATTATCCAAGCATAAGTTCAATAATAGGTCTCCTGATCCCAAGACTTAGGTTAGCTATCCAACCCTATAGCAGTTCCAGGAGCATTCATGCAGAAAACGCCCAGAAATTTAATGTTTTCTTACAGTAAATGTAAAAGAAATGTTTTAAAAATTATGTAATGCTACAACAAAAATTTTCCCCTGCTTCAATGACATATAGGCAAAAACCACTGGAAGTTTACAGTTAGCTCAATATTCCTTTATGCTCATTCCTATACAGTTTATATCTTCAATTATCATCTAAGAATTCAGATTCAGAATTACCCTCAAACAGCATCCATTATCAATATTCCCATAATTCTTGTAGGATTGATTATACCTGAGTTGGGGGCTTCCAAGCAACAGAAGCAAATACGATTCAAAAAGCTTCAAGAAGTATGAAAACTTACAATACTTATCAGCTGCTCCTAGGCTAAACTTTCTAAACGTTGCTTCAAGGCTTTGTTCTCCATGGTCAGAATAAGATTCTGCTGGTTGAGAAATTCAAGCTCAGCAGAAAATTCAGATCCTCCTGCCTGTAATTGTATATAAGGACTAACATCAGCACATTATGATAAACTACAACAACTTTCCCCAAAAAAAATGTATCAAATTTTTTTAGTAGTTTCTAACTAATACATGTGATTAAGGCCGAAATGTACATCATTGAGGCCGTTAATTAGAATCTTTTAACTTCACTTGCTGGTCAAACTGTATATTTTATGTGTGTTGAGTGTCAATCAGGTTGTACATCGTCGGAGCATAAAATGAGCAAAAAGACAGATTTTGGGCAGAGTTGACTTTCCCGCACGTGCGTTGACTTTTTCCGCACGCGCGTTGACTTTCCGCACGTGTGTTGACTTTTCCTGGGAAAGTCAAACCGACATTTTAAACCTGTTTGGACGAGATTGGAAATATAAAAAGGCAAGTAAAAGGCTGGATTAGGGTTCGGAAATTGTTTTGACCTAAAGGAAGAGGCTAGGGTTTGGAAAGAAAGAAGAAACAAGAAGCTTCAAAGATGTCTCCCATAGTGGTTCCTTCTCCATCTACCTCCTCCCATTCCTCCATGAGTGGCTAGTCTCCTTTTCTAGGGTTTTGAAGAAACCCTAGCCATGTAATAGGTTTTTCTTTTTTGATTTTATATTATGTAAAGGTTGAATCATTGTATGGTGTTTTAGAAATTCTTTATATATAATTTTCATTATCTTTTCAAATATTTGACTTTCTGTGATTGTTGAATATTATCCATACATGAGTTTTCTATTCCTTCACATTCAAGGTATGGGACGAACCATGCTACGAGGAACGAGTCGTATCACTACCCTAGTTTAGAGTGAACGATTCGTATTACTTGAGATGGTTCGTGCTCGTACATTGAATGTGATAATCTTCTTGTTAAATGCTTTGAGCTTGTAGTTGCGAAACATTAATCCGTTCAAACCATAGCATAATTAATTTTAATTGGAAACCCTAATTATGTGGTTAGTGGTGAATTCTCTACCCTAAGATTTTTCCCCAATTCAGTAAACCCAATTTCATTTATTCTTGATAATTTAATTCCTTAGTTTAATTTATTCATTATTAAATTAGGTTATAAACAACCAACCTCTTTATCAAAATTAATTTAGGAATTTGACAATTAAATTAGTTTAATTTCACAATAGTCCCTGTGGATCGATAGCTGGACTTGCCATTATTCTGATTGAATTTGGTATAGTTTAGTATTTAATTTTGGTGTGTTCAACGACCCATCAATACCTGTAAAGCTTGCACATTCCTTTCCAGTTCAGCTATATATTGAAGTTTCCGAACCCGTGAACGTTGAGCAAATTGCCTGCATAACAGCATTTCATATTTATTCTGCAGCAACTCACATATCAAATTAATAGTCTTTACAGATAACACCAATCTCATTTTAAAGATTGTAGACTTCTCATATCAAATTACCTAATGTATTCAATAGTATAGTCATATAAATGATACACACACACACACACACACACAAAAAACTAAAGCCACCACATCTGAATTACTAATTGAAAGAACTAATATCAAACAACTTCACTTTAAAACCCATACACTCATACATATTGATTTCCAGTTCAAGAGCAAATGAACTTTGATCAAACGTAGGACCTATTGCCCACCAGGGAAGAGCATGCAATTTCTTTAATTTGACACTGATCACTGAACGAGTTTTCCTGGTCATGTATAACCAAAATTACAAAATCGTGCTGATTTATGTTCCTGGTAATATTGGGAACTCTACTGACTAGGAACAGGATTCTCAATTTGGCGCAGATCTTTCTCTGCCCCAGAACAAGTATAAAACCTTGCAATTTTAAACCGGAAAATAAACCATGGAACAACTTTGGATAAAGATCATCATCAAACCTTGCAATTTTAAAGGTGATACCACATAATAAGAGTAAGAAAGCTAAGAAACCAAAGTATTGAAATGAAGGATAGGACGTACTGCTTAGCACGTTTTGTATCCATTTCAGACTGGATGACATACTGCTTAGCACTTAGGGTGGGCAGCTATGAACCAAGATTTTGGATACTCCACCTTCAGACTGGGTGATGAATAAGTTGTACTTTACATGAAAAATATAGGTCCTGTTTAATTTGCATATTAAAGCTTTCCTTAATATTTGGGAACAAAACTAGTCAATCAACTTCATTATTTCAAAAAGACAGATTTCTTTGTCAATTAATACTGCTGAACAAATTATACATAAAAAATGCTGAGGAATTTGTACCTGGGTCACAATTGTCCACTGCAAATCCGGCAGAAGTTGAACAAAATGTACCTGGGTCACAATTGTCCACTGCAAATCCGGCAGAAGTTGAACAAAATCATCGAATTTGGTCCCGATTAGTATAGGAATTACCATCCAATAACACTGTAATAATCCAAAAAACACAAAATTATATCAAATTAGTGGTTCTTTAAACTTAAAACTATGTATGTATCACTATTAAAAGGAGTATTGATTTAATGATGAAATAATTAACATACCTATTTAGAGTACACCGGCTAATAAGATCAAACATAAACAAAATTGCTACTGCATCTTTGCAAGCAATAGGAATTTGATCAAGTGACCTATTGTCTCTTACATCCAAATTAAAATTACAAACAAACAAACATTTTAAGTAAATAGAATCCACTAAGACTCCGGCAATTACAAACATTTTAAGTAAATAGAATCCAAATTTTTTAAATTAAAGAACGAAAAAATTACAGAGAAAGTAAAACAGATCAGCAGATTTGACAATGAGAAAGTAGAGAATGAAAAATGTACCTGATATAAGAGCAAGAGAGATCAGCTAGAATAGATCGATTTTGGATTTTGGATTTTGGATCTGCGATTTGATAAAGAACAGAACAGATCGATTTGATGAAGAACAGAACAGATCGATTTGATGAAAAACAAATCGAGTTCGAGTTCGATGAAGAATAGCTAGAGAGTTCGATTGCGAGCGACAGAGATCGATGAAGCGCAAACCATCGAGAGTTTTGGATCTGCAATCGAGCAAATCGAGGGTTGAGAATGAGAAATTGAGCGAGCGAGCAAGAGAGTGTGTGTTTGAAACTGAGCGAGAGAGAGTGAGAGCTTCAAATCGAGGGTTTTGGAAGAGAGGGAAACTGAGTTGTGGTAGAGACTGAGAAAGAGAGACTGAGTTCAAAGAGACGGAGGTTTTGACGGTCAATACATTGACCCAATACGGCGCCGTTTCACTGAGATCAGACACAACGTTTTTCGAAAACATTGTGTTTCGTTAATTTATAGTGGCGTTTCCCTAAACGCCACAAAAAAAAAACGTTGCTGTAGACCATTTTTCCTATAGTGAAACTTGTGTTCAATACATATATACACACATGTCATATAAATAAGCGCCCACAACAAACGCTTTCAATAACAAATAAAGACTTTGCAAAGCACTTCCATCACAACAATAATTGTACTTTTTTTTTTCTCTCACATAAAAAATCACATTATTTAGTCAAAATGAATTTTGAAATTCAAAACAATATGATATCACCTCAAACTCTTACTCATTAAAATATTTTTATTATAATAAATTATAATGGTGAGCAAGAAGAAAAATAAGAAGATGTTGAAATAAAAACTACTAAAGATTTATTGCAACATGCTCTCCAAATAAAGTTAGACGAGTTGAAACAGAAATTATTCTATCTATTATGAAGTTCAAGAAAAACAATATACCTCATGTACACATTTTAGTCAAATTATAAGAAAAAATCGAATGATACCCAAACATTATCGCAGTAACTCAATGATACAGAAAGCAAGTACATCAAATAAAAAGTTTCAATCAATTTTTTTTATATGCTGATTACTTACAGATGCTATAATAAATTATGTAACTTGACAGCTACACGAAAGTGACTCTGCAAACATTTATAAGTATGGATCTATAAATATCGTAAAAATAATTATAAAATTCATATATCAATCGAAATATTAAGTTACAATATTATTTCATTTTCTTAAAAAAAATATTTCACATTTTCTACATAAATGAAAATATACTAATGGAAAATATTATATTTTTCATCATACACGTTATTCGTGGCATAGAAAACGAGACTTAAAAACTCTTGATGTATGAAAATATATTACATATTGATATTAATGCATTCTTACACAAATAGTATGCAAATAATATGCAATAATATGGTTAATGAATTTGTATTATGAGACGAACTATTAAACAAAATTGTGTAATTGTGTAATTACCTTAAATTGTATTATATGTACGGATTATGAAAAATTGAAGTGGAAAGTTGATAGAAAAGATTTGTGTAATACTATATATTTAAAGGACTTGCTTATTATTTATTGTTTAAGATAATATTATGATTTCAACAATCTAGTTATAAATTAGTCTTTATGTTTATAAAATTTCTCACTTATCATTTGTACGGGGAGGAAATAATTCTCCTCGTATAATCCTGTTGACCAAGTCCACGCTCCCCCGTACGACGTCGCTTTATCACCTGAAAACACAAACGTGAGCTAGCCGGCGGGTGTGTGCCGGAAACCTCTCCAATGCCTAAGTCAGTAAGCTTGACAAATAGACAAAGCTCTATGTTCTCAGGAAGAATTGTGTTCAAAAAATTATTACCTCCTCCAAGGTGGTGCTTGTGAGCTTTTATAGGTTTCGAGTGGCATAATCCTAGTAGGACTTTTATTTCTCCATGCAGAGTCCTCCTAGGATTCATATTCCTAAGGATAATGCTTATCCTTTTACACCCTCCCCCACTGCTTAAACCAAGTGGGATGGTTTTTACCACGGCCGAACTTCTATGTGACCGAAATAACACTGGCTATGCTAAGCCACAGTGTAGGCCGAACTATCCTTAGTTCGGTTTTCTCCCGTTCAACCACGGTATGCTGAGACCTAGCTTCTGAGTAGCAAGCTCCGACCGATCTAACAATAATACACCGCGACCGGACTAACTGTGAAACCGGACTAACATCAAGTTACCTTCAGACCGGAGTGGCTTTACACCATCTTGAACCGGAGTAACCACACCCCTCCTGGGCCGGAATAACTTTACTTCTCCTGGGCCGGAGTTCCTATACCTCTACTGGGCCGAAATAACATTACAGCTTCTTACCGATTCCTTCACACCTCGGGCCGCAGGGCCCAACTCACAGCTCGGCCCAATTTTTTCCCAAAAATTACCCTCTCAATTGCCCCTTAATTTCATCTGCATAGCATGATTGAGATTACAAATCCTTCAACCGAGCTGAAGTTCTACAAGCCTTTCCAGCCGAGATAAAAACCCTTCAGTGTATCCAGCCGAGCTAGTTTTACTCCGAACTCTGCTTTATCCGGTCAAAACGTCTCTTCAATCGCGACTGTAACGCTTCCCTTTCCCTTGCCACGTGGCGGGCTCTGATAGGCCGTGAGCTGTCATCACGCCGCCTTCGTACTTCGAACTTTTTGAACAGTCCCGCCCCTTTTTGCCGCGTTTTTCTCTCTCCTCTTTCACAAAACAACCCTTCTTTTTCTTGGATTATTCACCTCCCATTCTTCATTATTCTTTCGTCTTCTCTCTCTGTGCCTTTGTTTCTTCCATTATCAAGCTCGCGTTCTTCATTTGCTGATACTGTTGCCGACTCCAGTCCTCTTTTATTCCATCTGGTAAGCAAATCCATCTCCCTTCCATGTTTTTCCTTCGTATCTGTTCAGTGCATTATGTTTAATGTGTTTTTGCAAAACATTTCTTCCATTTCTGCTTCTTTCTGTACTTTTATGAGAAAACCAGTAGAACTCGTGTGTATGAATCATTCTGTAAAAAACTAGTCTTGGATCCAAAATCATGTAGCAACCGAACTAGGATACTGTTTGTCCCATATATGTAGATAGATTCAGACAATAACCGAACTAGAACTTGTAGGAATATCAGTAGTTTCTTCTGAACCACTTTAGCCGAGATAAGAGCACCGAACAAAGTTTGCACATATTGAACTAGGTACTTCGGTCTATAACCGAGCTACGCCTTTGGGGCCAAGCCAGCTTTCTTAGTTTCTAAACCAGACTCAGAAAGCTGCCCCTAGAGGCTCAACCGAAGTAACAAAACCCACAGTTCAAACCGAAATAATCAACCAAACCCGAAGTCCGAACCGAGATACAAACTGCAACATCCCTCATAGCCGAAGTAGGACATGTATTGCTTTTATTTGTAGCACGATCAGATGATCTGTGCTTAACCCCTATGTTTTCCACTTTGCAGACTTAGGTGGCCCAAGCACTCTCTTGCACACTCGACCGAGCTACTGAGTACAACCCTTGAACCGATCTAACTTATTCTTAATTTATACCATAAATGGGTAAGTATAGGTATTTGGTAGAAACCCCGGGCGGTTTAGCCGAATTCAGGAAGGACTATAACATACCTGATGATGTCCACTTAACTTTAGCCGCAAAAGACATCACTCCCTGGGATAACGAAGGCTTCGTCCCCTTCACCCTTTTATCTATCATAGAAACCGGGCTACGGTTTCCGGTTCAACCGTTGATCTGTGAATTTCTTAGGCAGACTAGATTATGCCCTACCCAACTGTCCACCAATACGTACCGCATCATCATGGGAATAGCCGCACTGAACCACCAAACCGGACTAAATCTTGGCTTGGCCGAAATATTCCATCAATACTCCATCGGCTCAAAAGAAGATGGGTGGGTATATTACCTTAGGATACGCCGCCGCCGAGAGAAGATAATTAAACACACACCAGACAAAGATGTAAATGATGACGACTTTTTCTGGGTCTCTGGGAACTTTGAGGATTTTCAAGCCCAAATTCCTGGCCGACCCATAAATTGGAAAAAAGGGGAGCCCGGTAATTTAACTTCGGCCTAGTTTTTTGCGATTTTTTATTTCGGTTTTGCTAGTCCATCAACCGAACTAACAGTTGTCTTTATTTTCGTAGATTCTGCTCACCTTCACTCCGTGTACAGTTATCCAAATCTTGCTGTGTTGCGAGCCGCACTACGGTATCCTGAACGTAGTTGGACCAAGTTGCTGCAATTCGAGCCGACCTACCGATATAGCGGTCGCCGAAAAGCCCGAGTGACCGATTTCCTCCTTGAAGACGCACCTGAACCGGACCCAACCCTGCCCGAGATACGACTTGTTCCACTGACTGCAGAAGAAGAGATGGCAAAGAAAAGCAGAGTTAGGGCCCTTCTGACCGAAACAACTAGGCCCGAGGTAACACCACCCAGCCAATCGCAACCTGCTGTTGTAGCCCTCCCTTCTCAACAGCCATCCTCTTCTCGCCGAACCAAGCGCGCCCGGACTGCTGAGACCGAACAAGTATTGGTTGATGAAGCAGAACCCGTACTTCCGCCGAGCTTGCCACCGAGCCCCCAACTGGTTCCTTCTGACCGAACTACCGACCGCTGGGCCCCAAAACTTACCTTTAACGACCGAGACATCCGAAATACAGATTCGGTCGTTGCTGAAAAAGACCATTTATTGGCCCTCAATCTGGCCAAGGGTGTGTGCCTCCCTAAAGACATGGAGCATCACCAGAAACAACTGAATACCGAGCTAAAGGCCATCCGGTCAACGACAAAATCCATGATTCTGGTAAGTGGAGTTGGCAAAGGGTTGTCTTCTCTTTCGCCTAGTCGCACACTTTCGTGCAAGCACACATTTGATTTCCAAAAACGGAGATGAAGCAAGAGTAGATATAGATATAGATATAGAAGAAGATATAGAAAATTTAGGTTAAATTATAGTTTTTTTTTAAAATTTTATTTAATTCATATATGATATTATAATAAACTGTAATAAATTATAATTAGGTGAAAGAGATTCGAGCGGCTAACTTCCTAGTAAGGGAGGAAGTTATGGCCAATTAGATTAATCACGTTAGTTTAGGGTAAATAATAGTTAAGATCAAGTTAGAATATATTTTAAACTCTCTAATAGAATATGGGTGGAGTACAATCCAAAAGAAAATGACTCAATTCTTGACCAGACCAACCTCTTTTTCAAATCATTCGTTCCACTTTTCTTTCTTGGTGCGGTAAGCAATAAAAAAAAATAATGAAAAGCTAACTAATTCAACATGAGAAAACCAGTCAATTTATTATTTTTTAAAAGAATTTAATTTAATAATGAAAGTGATCCTTCATTAAAAATAATTAATCACAAGTCAAACATCTCCTAGGGAATATTTGGAGGTAAGATACATGTGTCTATGATGTGCCCCTAAGGTGTTCAATGAGAACACAATCAATAAAAAATACACACCATGTAGCATGTCCGACGTGTTCCGATGTGCCTGAGGTGTGACAGTGTCTGACACACCTCAGACATGGTTACAGCAACTAATTTTAAGTGTCCTTGTATCATAGGTTCTGCCACACGGACATGCTGCTAGAATGGAAAATATGCGGTTTATTAAAAGTTCCTTGTTTTATCTAAGTCAATGTTTGCCATTGTGGCTGCCTCAAGCTATGAAGTGCTCTTAGTCTGTATTTTACAAACTCGGCAGTAATAGTTATTCCAGCCCCCCTTTCCACAATGTGTATTTTAAATGTAGTGTTACAAATTCTTGACTACAGTTATCTTGGCTTGAAAAATAAACTTGATGTCACCCACCTGCAGCGTGTCTGTCTGCTTTCTCACTTTCTCTCTCTTGCCCTCCCCCTCCAAAGGAGCACATTAACATAGTAATAATATGGTGACAAATTGGCCCTATTGTGGGAAGGAAACTTCACAGCTATTTCTATTTGTCTACAGTGTGGGGAAGTCAACTCTTTTGACACTCCTGACGGGAACACATTCAGAAGCTGCATCATATGAGTTCACAACTCTTACCTGCATTCCTGGGATTATTCACTATAATGATACTAAAATTCAATTACTTGATCTTCCTGGAATTATTGAAGGTGCTTCTGAAGGCAAGGGGCGTGGTAGGCAGGTAAATGCTTCAGTTGCTTGTTTTCTCTTGTGATATCATGTCGTCATATGCCTCTAATTAGTTCTTAAATTATATTTTTATGAAAAGATGTTTGATCAATTTTGTGAAAATTCATTTTGAAAACGGTATGGATATGATCTCGAGTTAAGGTTTTCTCCTTTTCATTATTTCTTTTGCCTTGTCTGGCTAGATGTCGGTGTCTGGTGGTAATTACATGAAACTTGAATTATTTATTTATTTTCTATTCTCAGGTTATTGCTGTTTCAAAGTCATCAGACATTGTGTTGATGGTTCTTGATGCCTCAAAAGTAAGCATATATTATGTAGTTGTGTAGTGTTTTTGCTTCTACTTCTTGTAGTTATATAAAGAATTTGGTAAGAGTTATAATGGATGCCTCATTAGGTCAATGGTGACGGCATAGGAATTATTTTTGAAATATCATATTGTTCCATATTAATATTTCACTCTTGGTGAGCACACCTTTTTTTCCCACATTTCACTATGAGTGCCTGATGAACCTAAATACATGACATTTTTATTGTGTTATCGCCATCGTTGTTTATAAGATGCCATATGTGCTTTTTTATGTTACCAGCAACAGCTGGTGGCCTTGATGGTACTCACCTAAAAAAGAGGTGGCCTTGGTTGATGGTTACTTCTATCCTAAGAAACATGGACACTTTTATGGAGGAAGCATATTGTGTTGGACACCCGTGTCAGACACTCCGAAATGCATGTTAGACACTTCTTTAATGTGTCTTGATTTAAAAAATTAAATTCATACTATCGGACACTTTATTGACACTTCGCGGACACTTAGACGACACTTCTTGAACTCTTTGAATATGCCCTATGTGATGAATACCTCTATAATAATAATGTTCTGCATCCTTCTATGCACTCTAAATATGTTTTAAAACATTAATAAAATGAATACATCATGTTTATTACAATGTTCTACAAGAATGTGATGGTTATGTGAATGATACCTTAATGTTCAATTTGTCAAATATATAGCTTTTAAATGTAATTAGTGTTATTTTACATATTTTTATTATCTTTGAATAAGTTAGTCATATATATGACATAATAATTTGTAGAAATATAAAATTTTAATGTGTCCCAAGTGTGTTGTGTCCTGTATTTTTCGAAAATTGATGCGTCGGCGTGCTAGTGTCATGTCACGTGTTTGTGTCTGTGCTACGTAGCTTCTATCATAGCTTGTGTTCTCTTATGGAGTTGCCCTTAGAGTTTGATCCCATGCAGGTGCAGCCACTTATGGTTGTCCCATGAACCACAGACACGTGGCATATGGTAGATGTGGACACGTGCTGGAAATGAGTTGGACTTTGAGACATCTTCTATGTGTAAGAAATTATGTAGTATTTTGTTTTTAAAAATTGATTGTGATGGGACACAACACTTAGTTTGGTTTGGATTTGTTTTTTGTTTTTAAAAATTGAGAATGGCATGGACATTCTCTGGACAAGTTGTAGACAAAAGAGTAAGGCATGAATAAGAGAGGAAAGAATGTTCAGTTGGCTCCTTATGTTCTTGATATCAAGAGAGGAAAGGTTCTACAGTTGGCACCTTGAGTCCTTGATATCTAAATTTTAACTGTTTTCCATGGCATTTTTCCAAGCTTCGGAGTTGAAAACTGGTCTTATGTTGTTCTGCCTATAAAAATAAAATATTGCCCAAACCATTTATAATCTGTAACAATATGTGTGATTTACTTTATGTTCAGTTATTATTTACAATAACCAGTCACATTTGTAATTTGCTGTCATTCCATTTATAAAAGTACCCTGTCTATTTTTAGACGAAGGATTACCGTTTTGATTGATATACCCTTTTGATTTAAAAAAATCATAACATTACTAGCTCTTCTCATATAATGTTATTTTCTCATCGGAGAATTTTATCACCCTAGGTGTGATGATTTGCCCGACCATGTCGGCCAGCCTATTTCCTTGTTTCTGTCCCATGTCAACATTCATGCTTCTTAGTAATTGTTGTTCTCCTTTTATTTTTTTAGTATTTTTTGTTAATCTGTGGTTCTAACATGAATTTTTTGAACTACATTTCATTCATGTTGTGAAATTGATTGTTTGTTTAGGCATTTAATGTTTAAGTACAATACTTCACATCTAATTCAAAAATTGTCCTCTCTTCCCCAAATCAATTGGTCAATTATGTGGTATTCTCTTAAATATGCTTATTGGGCACGAAAAAGAATGGCAACATGCCTGATGACTTACTATTACCTCTGGGTTTTTGTTGCCATAGTATCAGACTTGCAATACCAATACCTAATGAGCACCGTATCAACCTTGTTAAATTGATTTTATGAAATTTACAGTTTATGTTGGACACTGGTGCAAGTTGTCCTGATAGTAACAGCTATATGGCTCATTAAATACCAGTTTTTTCTGACGGAATAATCTGAAATATTCAAATTTTCTTCTGGTGATTATTATTATTATTATTATTATT